TTATTAAAATTTCCATGTTAATTAATTAAAAAAACTTGTAAGTGTAGAGCTAATTCTTATATTAAATAATAAGACTAATGTTTGAATTATAATTTATGGACTAATCAGAAAATAATTGATGCATTTTATTAACTTAATAATGCTAATTTTGTTCACTATAAGCATACAAACCTTTCTCAAAAATTTATTTTTGTATATCATGATTAATTAAATTAAATTATTGATAAAAAAGATTTCTAAATTATCAATTATTAAATTTATCTTTTCAATTTCAAAAGAGAATAAAACAAAATATCATTCAAGAATCAAGCATTTTTGATTTATAATTTAATTTAAAGATAACTTTTAATTCACTATAAAGAAAAAGATCTAAAATAATAAAAAAATAAATTGTTTTAAAATAATGAAATTAATTTTTCATTGCTCCAAAGGATGATCAACAGAAAATCCTATTTTTACACCATTTTAATATTCTTGATGGTAGACTTTTCGTTTTGCTTAGGTGTTATCATCAAAACTATCGGATAATTCTATCCATTTTCCATCTTTCATGCCATTCTCATTATATAAGCCACCACCTCTATATATTAATATTGATATATATGATACATTTAATTATTTTTATATAAGGTTTACCAGTTTCCTTATTTGATTCCTGCTTTATATTCTCCAATGTAAATAACCAAGCAATTTCTATTATGAAAATATGAAATAGATATACTCTCCATAATTTTCATTTAATTCTGTCCATATACCAATCTTCTTTCCATTTTCATCATAATTTCCTCCTCCACTATATAATGATAATTAAAATTACATAGATTTAATTTGATAATTAAAATTCCATTTACCAGTTTTCTTTCCATTTAAATATTTTCCATTTTAAATTATATTGTATTTACTATAAATAAAAATACTTTTGATACTTTTTGAATGCTTTATGAATTACAGACCATTATCCATACTTCATTCCATAATCATTATAATTTCCTCCAGCACTATTTTATTATAAATCTTACACAATCTTATTCTCAAATAATGTATTCCACTTTCCTTTTTTTGTTCCATTTTTATATTGTCCAACATAAGTAACTTAACAATTACTTCATTTATATAAATTTTATACTCCAAAAATTATTCATATAATTCAGTCCATTCTCCATCTTTCATACTATTTTCATCATAAGAACCTCCACCACTTTTTATAAATAGAATTAATTACATTATTTTTCCCTTATATATTGTATCCCATCTTCCAAGTCTTTTTTTTTTATTTTAATAAGATCCTTCCTTCATCACTTAACAATGACTTATTTAAATTATAATGAAATACTCCCAAAAATTCTTCTCTAATTATTTCCATTTCCCTATTTTATTTCCTTCTTTATCATATTCTCCTCCTCCTCTATAATAATTATAAATCAATACATTATTTTATCTTTTTGAATTATATCCCATTTTTCAATAGGAATTCCTTAATCATATTTTCCAACAAAATAAATCTAACAAAATCTAATTAAAATTTTTCTACTTACTTATAATAAAATTTATATAAATCCTTCCAATTTCCATTCTTTTTGCCATTCTAATCGTATAATCCACCACCACTAATATAGATTTTTATATCTACATACATTTTCTCATATTTATCACCAACCTACTTTATAATATCCCAATTTCCTTATTTAATTCCTTCTTTATATTCTCCAATATATATAACTTTTGAATATCTAATGAAAATTATATAAATACTCCCAATAATTTTCAAATAATTCTTTCCAAACTCCTTCTTTCTACCCCATTTGATTATAATTACCACCAATATCTAATTCCTTCCCATTCCAAGTAGCTTTCCATTTACCAATTTTATTTTTATCATACTGGCCTTCCCATTTTAGATTTTTTATCTATTCAATATTTTTCATGATTTAAGGTGTTTTCTATAGATCCTATATCTTTTCTCTTAAGTAATTAAATATATTTATACATTCTAAGAATCACTCCATCTTTCATATAATTCAATTCATTTTATTTTGTAAATTCAACTTCAATAGAAACAGTTCTATATTCATATACATTTAAATAAAATATATTTGGAAAATACTCTACAACCCATTCTTTTATTTTCTTTCCTTACGATAATAATAATGGTTATGGATTCATATTTTATTCACTTATACCTAAAGATTTTTCTATGTTTAATCTAAACAGACTATTATAATTTAATATACATTATTTTGCAAGCTACTTTCATTTATTCATCTATCTTCTAATTTAGTTTCACTAATAATTACTCATCTATTTATTAATTAATTAAATCAATAGTTTTTAAAGAATTTTCTCTTACTTTAATCCAATCATCTAAAATATTGCCCGAAAAAATTTATATTAATTTGTCCAAATCATTATTTGAACAAGCCCTTGGATCAAAAATTTTACATACTAAATCTAAATATTTTTCATTTGTTTGTTCTATTAATTCAAATACATTTTTAAATGTATTTTTAAAATCTTCAAGAATAAGCTGAAATTGTTTCTCCATCTTACTAATTACATTTTTGAGTTAAAGTTTAGAATCATCTAATAATTTATTATCCTCCAAATTCAATCCAGAAACTTTGTTAAAAAGCTTTTATGTAAACATATTATATGGAATCATTTAATTAGGCTCAACTTAATGTTCCAATTAACAAACTTAACAAAATTTTCTTTTGCAAGTATGATTAGCTACGCAAATTGTTTAACATTAGTTTTATGGATGATCAACACAAGGATCTTCACGATAAGTGAAATCAGATGAGAATCTCTAATAATTACCACAATATTCCATTTTTTTTATTTTCTATCAAAAATATTTTTATTAAATATAATAGATTTTAATAAATTTTTAATTCACATTTAAACTACCTAATTTTTTATTATAGAATTAACTTAGATCTTTGAAATTAATAATTTTATATGATAAAACTAATTCTTCCTAAAAAAACTGTTTTTCTTTCTTATGAGAATATTTTATTTATTTTAAGCATTTTATCATTTCAGATATAATTAAATTAGTATAAATCTTGAGCTAAACAATAAAAACAATATTTAAATTTTTCATTATTTAAAATCGGAAAGCATTCATCCAAAATATGCCTATTAATAAATCTCAAAGAAATAGATTAATCAGTTTGGGGTAGTAGCTCATTTAGTAGAGCGCGTGATTTGCATTCACGAGGCGCCGAGAGCGAAGCTCGGCTACTCCATATTTTTTATTTTATTTATAAATTAAAATTTTATTTAAGGAAATATTAATAATTATCATTTTTGTAGAAAATTTTCAAAAAACTTTTATTTGCTTTTTTATTCTAAGATTCATTATTTCATTCAGTATTACTAGGATCAAATATTTTTTGACAATCCTAATCTCTTTATAAAATTTATATAATTATTTTTGGTTTTTAACATTTAACTTTATTCGTCTAGGATCAAGAAATTCAATATAACATTTAGTTAAATTAATATTTTGTAGCATTAATTTCTTACCATTCATAAATTTTAATTTATATATATATTAGTACTCAATCATACAATATAAAATTTTTCATTAAAAAAAAAGCATATTTATAAAATAAATTTTAATTCTTTCAATATGATGATTATAAATAATCAAACATCAGCAAAGAAAATAAAGGAAAATCTATTTTTTCTTGAGATAATTTTAAAAATGCTTACCTGAGTTGGATTTCTTTTTCTTAGAAAAATGGAAGCACATCATTGATTGTAATAAAGTGTTATTAATTAGAAAAGTTATAGAAGGCTTTCAATAGATTTTTTTTCGTTATTAAAGATTTCTTATCTGTAAATCTTATAATTAACTCTAAATATTACAAATCAGATTATTCTTAAAAAATTTTATTGACAGCAAATAAAGATTATGACTAATTATAGATATGCTTAAATTTTTTCTTAATTAATATTGCTAATTAAAATCTGGTAATTTTTTTTACATTTTTCAATTATAAGAGATATCCAAGAGAATGGTCAGCATACATCTCTGCCATCATATAGAAAAGAATCTGTTGAAGTGGTTAAAGTAAAGGGCTCATTACTCTTTGTTTATAAATTTTATTAAATGATTTAATTAAGAAAGACTCTAAAATTTAATCTATATTTATTCTCTTTTGAGGATCAATCTGTAACATTTAGTTTAATAAGATCTAGATTTCATGATAATATTTATCTTAAACAAAAGTTAATTTATTTCTTTTTCCTTACACTATATTTTCTAAAAAATCCTTAAATGAATTTCCAGTAAAAAAATGATTGTTAAACACTATTCGGACAACGATAATACCTAATGACCAAACATCATCTTAAAAGGTTGGCTCAATTAATTGATTTTCAAGATGTGCTTTTACCAATTAAGGACTTGAATATTTAAGTTTTTAGGAAGATTTTTTATCAGAAATAATAGTTTAAAAAAAATCAACTAATTTTAATTAGATTGTTTATGATTAGTCTACAATCTCAAAACTTTTTAAAGTTAAATTGCCATGCACAATAGATTTTGAATGTAAATAATGAATAACATTAAAAATCTATCCTAATAATTTCTATACTAGATATATTGAAATTTGTTTTGATTAATTTTATAAAAATGATTGTAAACTTCCACCATTACAATAATTAAGAATTATTGTGTATTGTTAACAATTATAATATATTTCAATTGAGTCTTATAAATTTTGATGAAATAAGTTAGAAAATAATGAAATACAATTATTAGTTTTTTCATTATTATCTAAAATTTCAGCGATAAATATTTATCTGGTCAAAATATGCTATACAATAATTGAATTTGAATTCTGGTTGACTTTATCTAAATTACTAATATGGTTGTAATATTTTAAATAACTTTCATTGATTACATTGAATTGTTAGATAACTTCATCAACATAATTAAAGTCTAATGTATGATCATTTCTTTTTGAAAAAATTAATGTTGGTGATGCTAATTCTTCAGAAGACAAGTTATTTTGAAGGTTTATACTTTTTAAAGTTCCCTTTTTGATTGAGCATGCACCCATAAGTTTTTAATATTAGTTAATTAATCTAACAAGTTAATATATAAACGATCCCAATCATTAAAGAAAATTGTACAAATTGAATTTAACACCCAAAAAATACTTTGAGCAGATTTTTGACTCTTATTTTACTTTTGTAGATAATATATTGTATAAATCAAATTCTATATTTAATTTAGGATATATATGAAAGATTCTAATTTTTAAAAAAAGTACCATTAAATTTGAAATATTTGCTTTTTCCAAGTATCTTTTTATTTAAGATTTATAAAAAAGCATACAAATAAGAATTCAATGAACTAAAATAGAATTAAAAAGTTCAATTTTTGGATACAACCTTGAATAAATTTTATAAAATAGCTAAAATTTATATTTTATTGAAACAATAATTAAAAGTAAGTAAAGATTATCTTTTTAATATTCTTCTTCTTCTACTTTTAAAATATTAGTAAATTCTAAAACCTCAATTTCAAATAGGGTTTTAAAAATTCTTTTGGGTAAATCTTTTTTCCAAATTAAATTCAATTTCTGTAATTAACTTATATAGAGAAATAGTTTGAAACTAAGTCATTTGAATTTCTTTCAGTAAACTTAGAAATATAATTATTGTTTTTGTAAGAAATTATTGCATTAAAATTACACTGGTTTCTTTATAACTTTAAGTATTTGTTTCACTAAGTTTAGATTAGTTATAAATTCTTTAATATATTAATATAAAACTACTTTATAAAAAATTACAAAAGTGATGGTGATCCTTCCATTAAATAATAATAGGTTTATCTTTATTTTTTCTAGTTAATTCATGTTCGAATCTATCAGAAGAAATTTAAATATAGATAATATTCTGAAATAAAAATTTTTGAATATTTGATTAATTAATGGAAATAGAAGTTTATTTATTGGTTTAATATGTTATGAATAAAAGTTGAAGATTGAGTGTATTAGAATTATTTGTAAGAAAGAAATAGAAATAAAAAAATATAAAATATTAGAAATTCAAAATGGGATTTAGTGAATAATCTATAATTTGAATAATAAATATAAATTTTAGATTAGATTAGAAGATAAATAATATATGTAATCAATCATTCATTTCTTATTTAAAATGATTTAGTCTTCTGATGTGCTATTCTTCTTAATGGTTTTTAAGTTTCAGTGATTTGTTACTTATCTTAAGTTCCAGTTTCAATATCTATCACAATTAAAGATTTCTTAAATTCCACTTTTTTTCTTTAAAATTTGGTTACTGGTGCCAATATTTTAGAGTCTTATCTTTTTAGAAATAACTTAGCTCTTTTTTAACATCTTTGAAATTCAACAGGAGTTGCATTTCTAGATTCTGAGTTAAGTAAAGGAATTTCAGGTAAGGATCTCTAGTATCTCTTTGGTCTGGTTGTGATTACTTGAGGTAATTTAAAATGATATGGAATTTGAATATGAGGATCACTTTCAAATTATGTATATATTTTATTTCCAATATTTCTATCCGAAACTTCTACCTCTGTTTTTAAGGAAGAAGGAAGGAGGTCTATTTGATTTAAAAAAAGAGATGGTCTCATGATTCTAGCAGTTGTTTCTTTTTTAGGTGAATCCTCTTTTTATACTATATATGGAAGATGAAATCTAGTTGAAGATGGATAAGACATAGGATTTCAATTTTTATTTTATTAAATGATTTTAGAAAATATTTATTTTAAGTATTATATTGAAACTAATTAAACTGTCGTCATATGAAAATTACTAATTATATTATTATCTTGTACTATATTTATTTTTAATAAATAATAATATTTATTTAGATAGATACATAAATTCAGTAATTAAGTAACAAGTGATTGTCTATTAAAATGATTTTTTTACAATTTATTGTTTGTAAATAAATATTATTAATTTTAAAATCTTTTAACTTTCTAGAAATATAATTTATATTTTAAATAATTAAATGAATTGGAATTAATTTGAGGCAATTCACTAGGAAGTAATATAAAATTTATTAAATAATGGATTTAGTAGTCCAACACCTGTATAAATTGAAGTTCTTAATAATTATCAAAAACATAAGCATATTATAATAGCATCTTAAACAGGATCAGGTAAAACATTAGCATTTGGAATTCCTTTAATTTCAGAAATTCATAAAAATATAAATAATTATCCATCTAAATAGATAATAGCATTGATTTTAACACCAACTAGAGAATTGGCAATGTAAATTTATAAACATTTAAAAGTGATTACTAATTTATCAATTGGATGTTTAGTAGGAGGAATGGCAAAAGAAAAATAAAGAAGAATTATAAATTAAGCACCTGTAATATTAATTGCTACACCTGGTAGATTATGGGATTTTATAGAAAATGAAGAAAATGAAAAAATTAAAAAGTTAAATCTCATTAAATTTTTGATTATTGATGAAGCTGATAGAATGGTTGAATTAGGACATTTTCCATAATTAGATAATATTATGACTAAAATAACTACACCATCATCAATTACTCATGATAAACAAACAATTATATCTATGATGAAAGAAAAAAGTGAAGCTGCTTATCTTAATAATTAAAAAATTACATTCGAAGTTGAAAAACCAGTAGAAATGACTTATGAAGACTTTTTAAAATTATAAAATGGTAAAGGAAACATATATATTGATAATGATATTATTCAAAATCAAGATATTGAAGAAATTAATAATGATGATTAAGATTTAATTGAATAAGAATAAGAAGAAGAAGAAGTTAATGAAGATGAATTAGAAGAATAAGATTAATAAGATGAATAAGATTAATAAGATGAATTAGAAGAATAAGATGTATAGGATGAATAAGAAGAAAACAGTTAAGATGAAAATGAAAATGAAAATGAAAATGAAATTATTAATTAAATAGAAGATGAGAATGAATAAGATTAAAAAATTAAAAAAAAGTTAAAAAAAGAGTAAAAATAAAAAAAAAAAAGACCTTAAAATTTTGAATAATAAGATTATTCTTTAAAAAGTAGATATGAATTAAGAACATTTTTAGTATCTGCAACTTTAACTCATTAATTCAAGAGTGGCTCAAAATTTTAATTTCTTAAGTCATAAAAAAATGATTAATAAAATTAAGCTGATAAATTATTAATGAAATAAATGAAAGCAAGTGTTCCTAAATTATAATCTCTTTTAGGTAAATTAAAAATAAAGGAATAACCATATATAATTGATTTAACTTAATAACTAGTATTTCCAGAGAAATTACAATTCTTTAAATCATTAATGGAAGAAGATGACAAACTCTTACATATATATCATTGGTTTAAAAATAATGAAGATTAAACATTTATAATATTTTTGAATTCAATTACATATGCTAATAAAGTGACATCAATGTTAAAAGTACTTGGAGTAATAAAATAAATCTATAATTTTAGCTACCAGCTGTAACATTACATTCTTAATAATAATAAAGATAAAGATTAACAAAATTAGATTAATTTACAGCAAAAAAGAGCAATATTTTAGTTTGTACTGATGTTGCAGCAAGAGGTTTAGATATAATAGGAGTTGAAAATGTAATTCATTATTAAGTTCCTTTTACTGCTGATACATTTGTTCATAGATGTGGTAGAACAGCTAGAATTAATAGAGAAGGCAAAACATTAGTTTTAATTGGTCCAAAAGATATGGCAAGATTTGCTAAATTAGAAACTGATTTATTAACTAATGGAATTAAATTTGAAGATTTTAAATTATCATTTAATCAAGTTAAAAAAACTAGAGATATGATTAAATAAGCTTAAAAATTAGAAAAAGAAGATCATTCCTTAAAAAAAAAGAAGAATATGAAGGATGCTTTATAAAAATAGTTAAAAAATGATGATTTTGATTTAGATGAAAAAGAATTAAAATAAGAATTAGAAAATGTATTTATTAATATTAATTAATTTTAGATTGAAGAGGAATTGATAAAAAAAAGAAAAAAATTAAATCAAGAGAAAATGTAGTATTAATAAATAGTATCTTAAAAAAATAAATTGGATAATAGATTTGAAAGAAGAAGAAATGGATTATTTTTAAGTCCAGAAGATACATTATAATTAGCTGAAAAATTAAAGTATTAAAAAGAAATGCTTCAATAAAAATAATTACATTAAAAACAAAAAGGGTGAATGTATATTACAATATTCTTATTGTATTTTATTAAATTAAATTAAAATAAAATAAATTAATTCTGGTATGTAATCCCCTAATCCAGCATAAGCATAATTGTAGTAACAATTGGAAATTTTGTAAAAAGGATTTGAATAACTTGTTCAAAGAGTTCCAGAAACTATTCATTTATCATGCTTATCCTAAAATAATAAAGATGTTAATAGATATTCAGATTGTATTTTATTAATGTTTATGTAAGGCATGATGAAAAGAAGTAAGAGAGTTGATAAAGAGATGAGATTATTTGATTTCAAGATGGTATTTATGGGAAATCAATTTGAAAGATGCATTTAATCAGGGGATACTGATAAATGTGTTGAATCAGCTAAAACAGATGTTTAGAGATATATAAATGAATTCCAAAAAAATATCAATTGATCAAATTATATATTTTAATGAATTTATATGACTCTCAAATATTAGAGTATCAATAAATATTCAACTATATTATTAAAGTAATATTCTTAAATATTTTTGGACCAGATAATCAAATACAGAATAATTCATTAAATACAAACTCATCTAATATTAATTTAATCTTCTCAAAAATGAACAATTTAATATTTAATTAGATTTATTTCAACATTAATTTAAGCTAGATTTAATGTATAATTTAACTCTCCAAACCATTAAACACAATATATTTTTAAGGAAGTATTTCTCTAAACAATTATCAAGAATTAATTATGATGAATATCATAATTGCATTTACTATTATCATATCAATAGGTATACTCTTTATTATAAATAAGAATAAAACAGTAGATTGTGCATATGAATCAATAGTCGAATATTTTTCATTTTAGACTCAATATTATTTTAAGAAAGTATCAACAAAAAATCAAATCATGAATTGTCAATAGCATACAATAGAATCTTTAACCAATTTTATAGAATTCAATCAATTAGGTATTTATTTGAGTATTTAATTGCAAAACACACTATATAAATGTTAAAGTTCAATTCTACTTAGATTATTACCCCTTTCATATTATTCCTTTAAAGAAATTATCAAATTTATTTTCAATTAAGATAATATTATGTTGCTTTAAATATAGAATTATTGATATCTATATTTATTAATCATAGAATAATACCATCAATATTTAATTAAAGTTTAAATTTTGTTATTCAGAAATAGATTTAAAAAAATCAATCTAATAATATTTAAAAATAAGTTTGTATTTTAGCTGATAATTTACAATAAGATGAAGGAGAAAGTAAGAATAAAAAGAATAACTCTTCTAATATTAAGATTACTTATTTAAAAAAAAGTAGATATTAAAATTAATAAAATTATTTATTTGACTCATAAAGATGGAGAATGATAAATTTTCCTTAATTAGTAAATATATTTATTGAAATAAGTTGATATAAAATATTTGATGTTTGTAGAATTTTTAATAATTTAAATTAAAGATTACACAGGATTTGTTAGTATAAATATTGATTGTATAATAAATATATAAAAACTATTAAATGATTATAAAATTAAATGTGCAGTTATAACAAATAATTAGAAAATAAGTTTTAAGTTTTTGATCTTTTAATAAATATTTAATATATAAAGTTCATAAAAATATTATGAAATTTAAAGATAATTAAATGAAGTTTTGAATTCTAATTTTCTATAAGATTAATATAACAATTGAAAGGAAGTTTTATTTGATTGATTTGATGATAATAAAATTATTTAATAAGATTATGTTTATTTGTAATTGGAATGCATTTATGAATTATTTAATATATATAATTAGAATTCCACTCTTTCTTTATATTGGGATGTAGATTAGTAAACTACCATTGTTAGATTAAACTTTATCATCTTAAAAAATACTACCTAGCAAAACTAAAATAAACAATGAAAATCCAAATGGTGTAAGTGTTTAGAAAGGGTATAGATAGCCTAATGTACTAAACACAAGAAGACAATTAAGTATAATGAAGCAAACAACTGAAGGCAAGAAATTGATAACTATTTAAAATGATGAACCAATTTAAAAAAGAGTTAATGCAGGAAAGTCCTAATCTGAGGGCTAAATAATTGAGAAACTACATCAAGAGTTTGATCAAAAATATTAAGAATAAGTAAATAAGATTTATTTAAGATAGGTTAGGATTATTGAGGATATAAAATCAGAGAATGTAAAATTAAAAATGCAATTAGAAGAATAGGAATAATAAATAATATATTTAAAGTTAATAAATAATGATCTAAGATAATAAATAGATAATTCTAGTTTAGCATAATAATTGAAGAAATTAGAGATAGAATATAAGGATACTTATAGAAGAATGGATGACACTCTAAGAAAAGCAATAGATGAAAATTATGAAAGCCAAATAAAATTGAAAAATCTATCAATAAAATAATAACAATTAGAATAATTTACAGTAAATAAAAATAATAATGATATAGTTTTCTTTAAGACAACAACTTACATGCAAATTCTGCAAGAAAGAATTATAAAATACTATTACTGTGATTCCANTTTAAATTAAAGATTACACAGGATTTGTTAGTATAAATATTGATTGTATAATAAATATATAAAAACTATTAAATGATTATAAAATTAAATGTGCAGTTATAACAAATAATTAGAAAATAAGTTTTAAGTTTTTGATCTTTTAATAAATATTTAATATATAAAGTTCATAAAAATATTATGAAATTTAAAGATAATTAAATGAAGTTTTGAATTCTAATTTTCTATAAGATTAATATAACAATTGAAAGGAAGTTTTATTTGATTGATTTGATGATAATAAAATTATTTAATAAGATTATGTTTATTTGTAATTGGAATGCATTTATGAATTATTTAATATATATAATTAGAATTCCACTCTTTCTTTATATTGGGATGTAGATTAGTAAACTACCATTGTTAGATTAAACTTTATCATCTTAAAAAATACTACCTAGCAAAACTAAAATAAACAATGAAAATCCAAATGGTGTAAGTGTTTAGAAAGGGTATAGATAGCCTAATGTACTAAACACAAGAAGACAATTAAGTATAATGAAGCAAACAACTGAAGGCAAGAAATTGATAACTATTTAAAATGATGAACCAATTTAAAAAAGAGTTAATGCAGGAAAGTCCTAATCTGAGGGCTAAATAATTGAGAAACTACATCAAGAGTTTGATCAAAAATATTAAGAATAAGTAAATAAGATTTATTTAAGATAGGTTAGGATTATTGAGGATATAAAATCAGAGAATGTAAAATTAAAAATGCAATTAGAAGAATAGGAATAATAAATAATATATTTAAAGTTAATAAATAATGATCTAAGATAATAAATAGATAATTCTAGTTTAGCATAATAATTGAAGAAATTAGAGATAGAATATAAGGATACTTATAGAAGAATGGATGACACTCTAAGAAAAGCAATAGATGAAAATTATGAAAGCCAAATAAAATTGAAAAATCTATCAATAAAATAATAACAATTAGAATAATTTACAGTAAATAAAAATAATAATGATATAGTTTTCTTTAAGACAACAACTTACATGCAAATTCTGCAAGAAAGAATTATAAAATACTATTACTGTGATTCCATGTGCACATAACTATTGTTAGAGATGTGTTTCTGGATATTTAGGAAGATGTTTTGCTTGTAATGATGAAGTAAACATTAAATTAAATTACTAATTTTTAGAATCGTGTTTAGGCTACATATCATAATGAATACATTAGCGATTTAATAAATATGTATAAAATATTTGAGAATATAATGAATATATTAAAAACTTGATTATAATTTATATAAAGTGTTTTTTAAGCAAGGTAAAAGATATTAAAATTTATTAATTAAATATGTATATAAATAAAAGTCAGAGGTTGAGTAAACCTTAGTAATATTCATTATAAACATCATGTAGTTATGATTCAATTCTTTAATGACATCTTTCATATTCTCGATCATTTGTGTTTCCTTTATAACATTCTAGAGCTTGTTTTTCAATAAATAACATTTTAATTGAGAGGTATTTGGCAAAGTTATCAATTTTACCTTCATGTCTTTCCATACCTAATTTGATGAATAATAATAATACATGTAGCAAAAAGCTCGAAAGTTTTAGAATTTCTAAGACAAATCTCTTTCTATTTTTCAGCCAAGTCTTATTATTTAAGAATTAGATCAATTGAGATTTGACTATCTTCTTTGAAGTTTTTGAAGTCATTTTCATATTACTATCTACTTTACATTTCTTTTAATGTATTTATTATTGATTTCTAGAGTTAAGATATTGGATGGTTTTGAATTATGATAATTCATCATTACAATATATTATTTTAAAATTTGGATGATTCATTATGTAATAAAATATTTCGTCATTTAATAATATTATTGATATATTTTATTATTTATATAATGTTATATGTTTTGATTCTTAAAATTTAGATTAAAAAGAACCTTTCGTATTATAATAATAGGATTATAAGAGTAATTGTTCAAGATTAAGAAATATAATTAAATAAGGATGAATTATAGAATAGTAATTAAAATAATTAAAATAGGAATAATATATAAAATATTAAGAATTTAAATAAAAAATGAGTATAGTAATAATCAAAGACAACTTTCAGAAGGATGATCTTATAAATCCATGGATGGTTCATCAAACATTTTAATAGAAATGAAATATCCATCAGCAGAAGTATCAATAGATGGAATATCTACACGAGTATGAAATACATATTTAAATTCTTCAGGATATTATTGTTCCAAGATTTCTTTAGTAGTAGAAGAGATCTAGAGTTTACCTCTTTCTCCTTTAGATTCCATTTTATTAGCTATAAGAACATCTGGACCATAAATATCATATCTAACAATTTCAGTTCCTAATACTCCTCCAATAATACTACCAGTATGTATTCCTATACGCATATCTAATCCTTAAAAATTAATATGATCTCTAACTCTTTTTATAATGCTAATCATTTCAAAACCTAATTCAACTGTATTTTTAGCTTCTTATGCTATATTTCTATCTTTAGCATCTAACATACCCATTACAACATAACAATCTCCTATTGTATAGAGTTTATATACTGATTTTTCTTAACAACATTTATCAAATTCTGTAAATAAATTACGTAACATAAAAACAACCTATTCCGGAGATACTTTACTTGAATACTCAGTAAAACCAGCTATATCAGCAAATAATAGAGTAACATTATCATAACTATCTTTAAGAACTGCTCTTTATTATTAAAATTTTAGAAATTGTTCAAGCATATGACTTGGTAATTAATGTTTTACTAATGAATCTAATTATTAATGTTTAGCTTTAAGTTTGCATTTATTATTATATAATTGCACATTCTTATAAAACTTATATATTTAATTTGAAATGAATATTAATTATAAGATTATTGCATAATAAATGAGACTCTTTTCCCAATTCTTAACTAGGATTACTATTAAATTTACTGAAATCATTGAAATACTCTCAATCACTTTATATTTCATTTTTATTATAGGGTTCAATTAAGTCATGAATGACAAAAATACTCCAACAGCTATACAAATTTCTCCTACAATAAAACTTTAATATGAGAAAATATGTATTATCCACCATATCATTGTAATTATATAACTGTAAATAAAATATACTTCTTTAAAATATTTCTCTCTGTATTATTTTATTATCAATAACATTAAAAACACTATCTTTATTGCTACTATAATATATCCAAAGGTCAAGTTTATATACCAAGTATATTAGTTTTCAAATATCTACGCTATCAAGATAGTAGAAGTGTTTTGAACTAATAAAAGGACTGTTACACCTGCCTTCAATAAAATAACTAAAATTGTATTTTTCTTGGTTAATTCTTAATAAAAATCATTAATATGATATTGTTCAACTTCTGGATCAAAATCTAAGAAAAGTTTTCTTCTATCTAATACCAACACATCAGCTTCTTTAAATTCTTCATCGCTTTAATATAATTACTTCAATTTTTCTTTTTCAATTTCTCCATTTGGGAAATCAAAATTTTCATCAACTAATAAATTTTCTTTTCCCAATTTAATTTCAATAGCTTCTATCAAATTTGCTCCTTCTATACTCATTTTTTATCCAATTTGATTTGCATGATCACTATCTGCATGAGAATTTTATTATTATTATACTTCAACATTTAAACTTGATTTATGTTATAATTTCTAATTACTCTATTTTAAATGAGGTAATACAAGTGTTGGTTTTCTTTTTAATCTTTAATCTCTTACTTATGTTTTATCAGATACATTTCCTGAATTAGTTTAAGTATTCTTTATCTTTCCATCTTTAAGACATTATTTCCTATTTTTTAATGTCTTTCTTTATTCTTATTCAGATAAAATATATGTTAGTAATAATCCTTTTCCTTTAGCATCAACTAAATCTTTTGTAAATATAAAATCTTAAGATCCACTAACTAACTTATAAGCATCTTCTGATATTTTAATTTATCCATCCTATCCTGTTGAACATACTCTACTTGTAGTATTAACAGTGTCACCAATTAATGAGAATTATGGTTTATGATATCCAATTACTCCAGCAATTACATTTCCATAATGTACTCCTATTTTAACTATAATTTCTCCAGATCCACAAAAATCCTACTATTATGCAAATTTTCTCATTTCAAATGCCACCTGAATTGCTCTAAGAACAGGATTTACACTATTTTAAGATACAATATTCTTTAATCCTGCTGCTGCCATATATGTCTTACCAACTGTTTCTATTTTCTATAATCCATATTAACTACATAATGAATCATACTATCTAAATAAAATATCTAATAAATGTATAACATTCTCTTTCTCTGCCTTTATTATTTTATCAAATTAACAAATATCACAAAATAATATTGCTACTTCGCCTTAATTCTCTTATATATCAAATTCACCCTTTTAATTTATTATATTCCTTATAAATTTTGGCATCAATATACTCAATGTATCACTAATTGAATTTGTCTATTAATCCAATGTTAACATCTATATAAATTCTTCTCTTGAATTTCTCTAAACTCTTAAATGCATCCCACTTGATAATGCTGTCTACATCATTGCTATTAAATAGTAATTCAACATTATATATTAATTAAAATTAGCATCACTTGTTGTATTATTAGCACTAAATCTAATTATAAAACTTATATTCAAAGCAAAACAATACAAAATTATTGTCAATGGTCTATCATCTATTAATGGTTATAACATAAATAATTGCATTATCAACATGTCTGTTAATTAATTATCATTATCCTAATAAAAATACGCATCATAAACTATCTTATATATTAGACGACTTATTATTAATACTTTACTTATTCTAAAATGATATTTCTTAAATGCCACTGTATATATAAATAATGCCATCAATAATTAAGCTGCATTATATCCAAATGTAAAATATAAAAACCAAGTATAATCTATCTCTCTATTTATCAACCAAATCTATATTAATATTGCCCCTTCTACTAACATCCAACTCAAAGGATAATACAATCTATAATATTCTATTATTGATGGTAATTCATTCAATTAATATTTTATTTCTAATTAAATGTTTTTGAACGTCTATGTTATCTTATTTATTTTTGTAGTCTTTACACTCAATACTATCCCAGATAAAATCTACTTCACTATCGGATCTATTTCTTCCTCACTCTTAAACAATTTTAATATATATTTCTATATATTTATTACTAAACTCTCCTTTCTTCTCTTAGGATTATGTATCTATATTGGCTTTACCTTATTGTTTATTTCAATCTAATCTTCCTCTTTGTATAACGTATTATGTACATATATAGAATAAAATTGCGTTAGAGTCTTTTAAAAACAAAAAAACAATAATTGTAATGATAATATAAATAACAAAGATTCCAAAGATATTAAATATTAGAATAGGTCAAAAATATTATAATCGAAGTAATCTAAATAACCAATCGTACAAAATGCAAAATATGATATTGGTAATAATATGTACTAGTACAAATTAGCATGAGTTAATTATTTAGTTAAATCTAATAACAATATAATAACAAACATTTGGATTGATTTCATTTCCTCATCAAATATAAATCCTTTATTGTTTCTCATATCCATTATACTGATCATTATTGATATTATAAATGCTTCAAAGGCAGAATAGAGTATAACCTTGTAAAAAAACAACCAATATCTCTACTATCTAAAATCCAATTGATTTTAATTAAAGAAATATACTAATTGATTCTTGATATTAGTAACTTTTTCCTCTTTTGGAGTCATCCTCTAAATATATAATAACACACATGGTATAATGTATAAGAAACTTTAAAAGTAATCTAAAGGAGGATAATATGTAATGCCTTTGAACAAAATCTAAAAAAATAAACTAAAACAAAGTAAATAACTTCGATAGAAAGAAAATGTTATAATATTCTCCAACAATTCAGCTGATTATCTACTTTCAGACAATACTATGGATAATAAACTTGAATAATCTTTAACAACAATATCTGTAGTACCAACATAAGGGATGTTATTATACTAATATTCTATTTTAACTGAAATACTTACTTTTGAAATGATTAATGACAGGCTTAAATGTAATCTACTAGAGTTTAATACTTTTTGAATCCTTTTTTGATCTTTACAATTATTCCATTTTTTCAATAGCAACTTATTAATAAAGTCTTTGACTTTATAATTAAATAGCAAAATCAGAATATGCCATTAATCTACTATCATTAACATCATCACCAATTACTAAGACTCTTCTTCTCCACACTTATTTTTCTTAGAGTATTTTAACTAGTATTGCTTTTTAAGTTTTATTCATCCTATAACCAACCACAGATGTAGAAAATGCAATAATAAAACATAAATGATTAAATAAAGAACTATCCTATGATATTTTATCCAATGTTTCCCCATGTATTAAAATAGAGAATGGTTTAATTCTTTATTAAGTATTTTAAAATCCAGGTAATAATCCTTTAGTACTCTATCTTCTACCACTTGTATGAATAGATTTACGTTTTTAATTTGGACTCATTACAATACGATCGGATTGTCTTTTCTCAATTGTTATTGGAGGATCCTCTTTTAAATGTTTAATCTAATTATTATATAACCATTAAATCTATTATTTAATCTATAAAGTAGCATCTTGTAAATCAAAATGAATTATTGGGATCAAATCTTTCAATATTTCTGTTTTATATGCTATTGGTAAGACTTTATCCAAAGAATCTCCACTTGCTATCCAAACTATCATGTCTGCTGCAAGTAAATTTTTAATTACTGTTATTATCTATTTTCTTAATTTCTCTTTTATCCCAATTACTAAACTTAATTCATATGCTCTTGGTTAACTTTTCAATTCTTATTAAGGGTTTTTTAAAAATTATTAATATTAATTAGTATCCATAAATGATTTAAAGAATACTACTGGTCTACATCCATTCATATATAATTTATAAATCATATTCTCCCATTTATCTCTTTCTTCTTTATTCATTAATATTTAATCACTCATTTCTTAACTATCATCTCTTATAAATTACACATAATCATATGTCTAATCTATATCTTCAAAAAATCGTATGTAATCTTATTTTGTAAGTATCACACTTATTTTATAATGTTCCAATTAAGTTACAGTTACTGGTATTTCAGTTAATCTGCCATTAATTTCAACAATATATTTACTCTTATTTACAGCTGAACAAATAAACCTATAATCAAAATGAGATATAAATTCTAATTATAAACTATCAATCTTTGATGAAAATTCATGTTTAAATGTATCATCTTATTTATTATAAGTTGAATAAGTGTTATGACATATCATTAACATAAATATAGATTCTTCAGTTTACTTTCTGCTTTCATTAGCTATCAATTTGTTAAGAAAATCTTTCTCATCTAAACCTCTTAAATCTTCATTATTCTTATTCAAACCATCCTCTGACATAAACTTTGTAAAATTCATAGATCTTTCCATTCCAAATCGTTTTTATTTATCAGATCGATCTAATTTAATGCTCTGCTTTGCTCTAATAGTGATTCCTTAAAGTAAAGTGGATCTCTTCATATCTTTAGGACTGTATTACTATTATTGATTACTATTATAAGATTATTATTGATTGTAAATATATTATTATTATTATTATTATATATTATTATTACTAATTTATTATTATTATTGATTATTTATATTCATATTACTATTTTATTGTTATTGTAATATATATTATTATACAAGGCTACCTTATCCATTATTATTGATATCTGTGTTTGAACCCCATGAATCCTGAAATATTTTAGGTTGTTTACTTTTATGAATATCTTTTAATTTAGAATTGTCATCAATAATTTCTTCAGGATCTAGATTAGCTTAATCATTATTATTGGTATCAGTATTTTCTCTATTAGAGTTAATTTAGAATTCTTCTATTTAGAGAGGTTTAATTGAGGGATGTTTAGAAATACGTTTCATTTATTTAGGTTAAGGTGATATTTTGACTTAAGAAGCCTCTTTAAGTGGAGATTATGATTCTTTGAAAAGGAATTATTACATTTCATAATTATCATATTATTACTTTTAATAGGTTCTCCATTGATATAAATCATCAAATGTTTTTTGATTGATTGAAAACAATTAATCATTGAAATTAATCATTTTAAATTTAAAAAATGGAACAGTCATAGTACCAGTTTTATCAAATATTACACTATCAATCAAACTTAGATCAGCTAAAGGGGAATCATTAATTCTCTAATAATTTGATGATAATTATAAATCTTTAGATGTAGTTTGAATAGTTTATTTATGAAATTAGTACTATTTAAATATCATTGTACACAATGTCATGAAATCAAATATGAAATGTAAATAATATGGAATCATATTAAGATAACCTAATAGATATTTACATAATGTTTAAAGATTCCATTATCTACCATAAGAGATATATCTTAAAGATTCAGTCATCCATGATGCAAATGAGAGAACAATTAATAGAATGAGCGTGAATTAAAAGAATCTATCAACTTTAGTATAGAAGAAAGAATGATTAACTCTATTTCTAGGCTAATTATAATAATATCGACAACTAAGACCAGCATATAGTACTAACCCATAAATGTAATCACAATTTAATAACAGTTATTCTCTAAATAATATATTCTCTTTTTTAATATCAATAGCCTAAGGGTCATTTTTAAGTCTGAGAAATCCAGAATATAAAGATTTATCATTAATATTTCGATCATAATTGACTTTACCACTAAGTAAAAGTCTATATTCAAATGAATTATTTTTAAATTGATGCATTCTAGACATACTTGTCAAAATGTTTGGTGATTTATGTATCTAATTAGTATTTCCAGTGAAATTAGCAGTATCAACATTACAATGATCAGTATTAGATTCTAAAATAAGTAAATCAGCAGGACATATTTCATTTCTCTATAATACTACTATATCACCTACTTCTACTTCATCCCAACACACAGTTTCAAATATTTGTACTTTTTATTCCATTTTAGGTGTCAATTATATTTTCTTTTCTTCTCTAAATGAAGAAATAATCATAGGTTTATATACATCTTATTTACGAGGAGCAGAAAAGAGAATGATATCATTATTATTTTTAAGATGATTTGTCTCTTCATGGTTAATTGGTTTTTTTATTTAATTGATTCGCTTTAACCTTTTGAAAATTGTCACTTTTCTTTTATTAATTTCCTTATCTTATTAATGCTTTATCAATAAATAATAGAACATTTTAATTAAATACATAGCTATACCAACCAATAATGGAATCACAAATTAATAAAACAAAGAAAAGTCTTCTCCCTTCAAATCGATTATTGATAAACATACTATATTTATTATTATGAATATCCAGTTCCCTGGACGTTTTGCATACTCACCCAATATTTAGGTATAAGATAAATATGAATCAATTCCATTATGTAATTCAACTGATGTTATACCTTTCAAATTAACTGATTCCCCCATCTCGAATTCTATCTAAACTATTATATAGCTTTTCTACCTGCCTTGAATATA